GGGCGATTTGAATGCTCCGCACCACACTCGGGGCTACCCGTACAATACCAGCAAGGGCGCGGAACTGTGGCAGAACGCGACTGACATGGACCTGACTCTAATCACCGACAAGGCCTTTCCAACTCGGTTGGGCACCTCATCCTGCAGACACTCGACTCCCGACTTCACCTTCGTGAAGAATCTCCCCGATGTACAGTGGGCCAACTCGAACATTGACTTAGGTAGTGACCACTACGTCCTGTTGATGCAGTTCTTAGTGGTCCCAAAGAGGGCACGGGAGTTTTCTTGGACAAACTGGGACTAGTTTCGCAAAGCCCGCAACAACCTAACACTACCTGCAACCAGGTCAAGCCTCGAGCAGTGGATTAGCCAGCTCAGAGAGGACGTCATAATTACTACGAAGAATATTAGTAATGACCTTCCGGTTGAAAAAATCGGCAGCCGCCTTGCCCACCTGCTCGAGGCCAAGCAGTCACTTCTCGCCCGCTGGAAAGGCCAGCGCCTCAATCGCAGGTTGCGCGAAAAAATCTCCAACCTAAACAAGACCATCGAGGAGCACTGCCGTGTCCTCTCCAAGCAGCAGTGGGACGAGGTGTGCAACTCGGTAGACGGCCGGATGCGTAATAACAAGACATGGAACCTGCTCAAACACCTTCTCAGCGAGGCTAACACCAAAACTATCCAGTGGAACGTACTAGCGCGTGCCATGCACGAAGCCAAGCAGTCCTCCTCAGAAGAGGAGGTTTTGAAGCAGCTGCTGAAAAAGTACCTCTCTGTCCACTCGAACCCCGCAACAACGTACCCCGAGTACTCGGGACCAGCCAACACTGAACTGGACGCCGAGATATGCCACGAAGAGGTTCGGCAGGAACTCCACGGGATCAACGGAAGGTCTGCCACGGGCCCCGACGGCATAACTAATAAGACCCTGCGCAACCTGGACAACCGGTCAATCGACTACCTCACCAAAGTCATCAACGAGGCATGGAAGAGCGGCGAAGTACCCGACCCGTGGAAGGTCGCACGCACCGTGCTCATTCCCAAGCCGGGGAGGCCACCCAACTTGGACAACATGTGCCCCATTTCGCTCACATCCTGCGTAGAAAAGGTAGCCGAGCATGTGGTACTCAATAGGTTGACTTGGTACCTGGAAGACAATGGGCTCTACCCGCACACCACGATTGGTTTTCGGGCCAAGCTTTCGACGCAAGACGCTACGAAGTTGCTCAAGCACCAAGTAATCGACTGCAACACTCGAGACACGCGGGCAATTCTCGGCCTCGACTTAGAGAAAGCCTTCGACAATGTTACTGACTCTTTCATGTTGCGCTCCATTGCTGAGCTCGGCCTTGGAGTCAGATTCTACGAATATGTCAAATCGTTCTTGACCCGTATGAGAGCCACCCTCAGAGTGGGAGACCTTGTCTCCGAGGAGATCAAGCTGGGCTCGCACGGCACGCCACGGGGGTCAGTGATATCGCCCACCCTGTTCAACCTTGTCATGGTCGGGTTGTCCAAGAGGCTCTCAAGTATCGAAGGCATTAACCGCACAATTTACGCGGACGATATTACCATTTGGTGCTCAGGTGGCAGTGACGGGCAAGTCGAGCGCTCTTTGCAGGAGGCCATAGACACCACGGAAGATTACCTTCGTTGCACAGGCCTGAGGTGTTCTCCAAACAAGTCCGAGCTCCTCCTCTACCAACCCACTAGGCGAGGGCCAAAGCCCAAAAACTGGCAGCCGATCTCGAAGAGTGATATTAAGCTCTACACCGGAGATGGCGGCGCAATACCCAGAGTCCGCTCCATTCGGGTCCTCGGCATGACCATTGAGTCTAATGGTTCCAACGGCAAGACTATACTCAAGCTCGCCGCCGAGGCGGATAATGTGGTTCGGCTGGTTTGGCGCGTGGCCAATCGTTACCAAGGCCTCAAGGAAGACAGCCGCATCCGCCTGGTCAATGTCTTTGTGCTCTGTTACTTTTCATATGTCGCGGCCATGCATAATTGGCAGCGTGCCGAGCGTGACAAGATCAACGTCTTGCTCAGAAAAATTAGCAAGCGGGCCCTCAGTATCCCGATCAGGACGCGCACCGAGCGCCTGCTTCAGCTCGGAGTACACAATACGTTGGGGGAGATTGCCGAAGCGCAGAAGCGGGCCCAGCTCGCACGCCTTTCGAGCTCCCAGACCAGCAGACATATACTCCGAGAGCTCGGTCACTTTCCGGCTGAAGTGGACGAGAAGATGAGACAGGTGCCCGTGAGATTCACGACCTCATCACCGTGGCCCCGATACCGAGGAATGCTCATCCCGAGCACAATCGTGGTAGGTGACGGGCTAGAGCTGCCACTCTTCTCAAGCAGATTCATAGTGAGGAGCACGGCGTCAGCTTTGTCGACGTGGCAGCGTACCGTGGGAGCCGCACCTTCTCCGCAGTCGTCGTCGACTGTAAACAGCACGTCACCAACTGCGCATCGGTTCACACTGACGATCCGACGATTGCCGAGCAAGTGGCCATCGCCCTTGTCATCCTGGAAGGTGAAAAGAAGGTCATCTATAGTGTCTCTAGGTCAGCTATTTGCGCTTTCGAGTGCGGTGTAATCTCCAAGAAAGCCCTGCGCGTGCTCCGGAGTGGTGGCCACGATGGTATCAAGTACCACGTACTGATCTGGTTTCCTGCACATGTTGGACAGGTCCAAGGTGCTCCCCCCAACCTCAATGAGTCTGCCCACGAGGTCGCGCGCGCGCTTACCGACCGCGCCGGTTCCGGGCAACGATTCGGGGCCAACAGGGTTGCGGAAAACATGGACGCGCCTGCCACGTACAACGAAATAACAAAACATTTTTACCTCGCACGAAGACTATATCCACTCCCTCATCCAAAACTTAATAGGCCAGAGACCCTTACGCTCAGGCTACTGCAGACCTACGCATACCCTAACCTGAGATCCCTTCACGCTATTTATCCTGACGTGTTCCCCAATGACGCTTGCCCCACATGTGGGGATGTATCCACGCTGGCGCATATGCTCTGGGAGTGCAAAGCAATGTACACTAACCCCAACAGTATATCAGTCAGGTGGGAGGCAACCCTACGCAGCTCCCTCCTGGCCGACCAACTTTGGGCCGTCCAGCACGCCCACAGAGCGGATGATAGGCTTGGCCTAACGGTCTCGACGTGGGAGTCGCCCGCTGCGCACCGACGCGCGCCTTGCAGGACCACAATGAAGTTTTGCAACCGACCAACCAACTATCAAATAAACGTTTTTTTCACACTCTCCAGACGCAAGACTATCGTCTTTCGTCGACATTTGCGGTGTAACATGCCAATACGGGGCCAATTTTTTATTAACTGCGCACGCGCAACAGCTGGTTCAACCACTGTCAGAACGCGGTAGCGCGTTTGGACCTGTGTTACAGGCTGGTTGAGACTCTGTGGTCACTCCCAATTACACTCGCTCAACAATTATTTGATGACGTCGGGGAACGAGATTCTACAGACACGCGATAAAACAACGCGTTGTATTTTAGCCAGAACGCTCTCGCACGTGCTAGCGCGTTTTCACTTGCGTAAATGGCTGTGCACCTCCCGTGCTGCTTCTCATCGGCTCATGGTTTCCTTTAGTGGGAGATAGTGTAATTTTCCCTACTTTAGCACAAAAGCTCAACTTAAAGAAGCAATAGTTTGGCTTTGCTGTGGTGACCGGGCGTTTCGCGGGAAGCAACACGTGCTGATGGTATTGAAATCAAAAAGAGTAGTATTGTTACATGTAACTTGAACATACCAGAACGAAACAAGACAAAAAGTAAGAACAGTGTAGAAATCCTGCAAATAAGCACTAAAACACCAATTTATCTTTGTGTATCGGAGTGTGGATTTCTAAAAAGTGTATAATGATTTAGAGTGCTTGGTGCTATGGCTGGGCAAAAGCCGTCCCAGGTTATCGATGGCATCAATGTGGCTAGGCGTTCGGAATGTGTGTTTAGAAGAAGTGTTAAATGAATTAGAGCCCCTGATACTCTACTATAAAAGAACAGAACGCCATTCTAAGAAAACGAAAGGATTTTGTTTTTAGAGCAAATATTTGATGATTTGGAACACGATGTACACTACTCTGCGACAGCAGTAACCTGTTTCATGTGGTGAGAAACTGATGTCCTAGAAGACGAATTCTGTTTAGAAAAAGTGGTGAACGATTTAGAGTACATGGTACTCCACTACGGGAGAGCTGCAAGCCGTCCTTAGGGCCTAACACTTGATGAGGCCGCATTGACAAATGTTTTGCTCGAGACCCCTTGAGCCAAGGCATTGCAAAAATGTGTCTTATTTCGCGAATTGAACTGCCGCTGGAGCGCCTCATTTAGCTTAATTTAGCTTATTATCATTTCCAGGCTTTATAAATTGTTTAGATGTTTTATTTACTTTCCTATCGTTTGAGCGACACTTTCATTGTCTATACAGTCACTCTGACAGTCACTCTCAGACACCCTTTATTTCATGATGGTGCATACGAAGTACCCTTTTTTTAGAAATTTTAATGATGCCAGCAAAACATATGGAATTAGTGCATTTTCAACCGGGTGTGACGTCCTCAGATGAGTACGCCAGAGTCGGGGCAAAATGAAAGTTACGAGAAGCGTCAGACTGTAAGATTACAAATTTCTCAGTCTTTTAGGGGCGAAGCTCCTTAAGGCGTGCAACCCCGGTATGTAGTAGCCACTTCTCGTTTTAGTCCTTGGAATGTCCGCTTGATGGCGGTACTTGTATAAAATGAATATAGGATGAAAGGTTGCGAGATGGTGGTATTTGAAGTGTTCACTAGATGGACAGATGGATGGACAGACAGACGAACATGCGGGCAGACGGACAGACGGGCGGAAGCAAGAATGAACAAACGCATAGATGTAAGGACTGACGGACGCTTTGCCCCACTCATGATCATTCACTCTGCGGATATGCTGTGATTTTTTTTGCAATTCGATATGTCCTCGCGTTCACCTCATTGTGTAGTAGACGTCTCCATCTGGTGTGATGTCCACCAGTTCATTCGGCATGGTGACGGCGTGCTTGCGTGCACGCTTGGCGTTCATGAAGTACAGGTCGGGCTTCCAGATCTTGTCCGCAATCTCTGCACCGTTCAGCCCCACCGTCCGGTTTACTCCAAAGCGCCGCAGGTTAAGTCTCGGGTCGTGCCATGACTGTTGCAGGTGAATGTCCAGGTCGTACGTCTGAAGCGACATCGTTGTGGCAATAAGATTTGACGCGCGTTAATAATCTACAGGACATAATTCGCGTCCTTGTCAAGCGCTTAACCACGCCATTCGATTCGTTGGCCTAGGTTTCACGGTTAGACACTCCTACGCTTGCTCAACTTTGACTCCAATCTTCGTTTTTTTTTCAATGCAGTGCATTTCTTAAGGCCTGACCACACGATTTCGTATCAATGTGTCACGCGGGGCTTTTCGACGTGCCGTTGTGCGCTCTCCCTACAGAGATAGAGGGCGCGTGGCCAGGCGAAGTTGCGTGCTCCCTCTTTTTATATGGGGAGGTCACGACGCCGCCTCAAGAAGCCCCGCGCTGACGCGCTCCAACGAGTGCATGTGGTCAGGCCTTTAGTCACACGATGTCACGCTTCAGCGTCGGTGGCGCTGTCCACACCTACACTACGCATGCTTGCTTCTCGTGCTGAGACGCGCATGCTTGCGTCTCCTGCTGACCCAGGAAGACACCCGCAAAACTGTCGCTCCAGGAGCCATCAAAGGATATAACTACAGTGTCTAGAAATATACTAGACACTGTAATAAAACATCACCAGGTGTTCAGCCAGCCGAGCATGCGCAGTGAGATTACAGACCACTCTCCCGTACTCCTCTCCCTCGAACGCTCAAGCATGCGTTGGGAATTAAGGCAAGGGTGGCTTTTCTTGGCTTTCGCTTGACTTGACACTTTGCTTGACTCGTTAGATGCGATAGAAGCAACATTACCTTCAAATAGCAGTGGGGCACAACGCAACATCAGAGTTCCACCACTATTTAAAGGCAACGCTTCCCCTTCATTTATTAAATAGAAATAATAAAGGACGAAATAGCAAATAAGCATTTCAAATCACACCAAATTATGGAACATTCATACGGTACGGCCACCACTCAACAACGCTCTAGTTCCCCCAGGGGGAAGATGTGGTCGACTTTTTTGGTGCTCGAGCTACTCAGTGCGCTGAAGTGTGTTCATTACAGCTAAACAAAGTTTCAAGCCGCGCAGTAAACCAAGTTGTACTAAACCGATGAAAGAACAATACAGCAAAACGCGATGACATAGTTTAAAAAGCTGGCAAGATAACCAATACTACGCAAAAGTAATCATGCAATATCATACACAGCAAGCGTATAAATTACTAGAGAACTCTGCATATGTTCCTGTATAGAATACAAGTACTTAATACGCTAACAGGGCATTGATCACAAATTAGCTTTGTTCGTCACTGGTAAGAAGTGAAACAACATAAACTGACCTTAATCGCTAGTCAAAAAGGAGCAAGGAAAGAAGATACTTCTAACGAATGTTTGTAAAATAGGCCAGTTGTTTTCATTGAGAGGTATTATCTATCACAAATAAGACCAAGAGAAAAATTTTATATGCGCATTCATTTGCTACATTGAAACAGCTTAACTTTACAGGGAAGATATGATGTTGGTTTTATATTTTCAGGCGGCCTCAACGCTAACTTCTCATGCATCTGTGCCTGATCTCAAAAAAAGCATCCAGCTGGGTAATAAATTGTTCAAGCTTCGCCAGCGAGTATAATTTCTTCTCTATTTTGTTAAAGCGCAAACTCTTTCACTAAACTTGTAGTTTTTTTTTAAATGTTTCTGTACAGAGAGATATCAACTATGTTTCTGTTCCCTATCGATTAACGATTACTTTTTCTACTACTGTTTTTCTACCGAACTCAAAGTGTGATCCTCAAGTAAAAATGTGTCATTATAAAACGCCATTCGGCGAAACGCGTAACCTGAAGAACCCTCCTCTTCTCCCAGTTTGCTGTTGGTTCAACATGCCTCCATGTAGGAGAGACAGGCCGTCCTCATCTTTCTGAGCATAAAACAAGTGTGCGGTAGCCCATGTGGATCCCATGGCTTTGCGTAATATAATGTAATTGAAAGATGCCCTTAACTGTGGTCAGTTGGTTAGTTTATAACTTTTAGGCATGCCTTACAGTGGAAGGCTTAAACGTGCACCGAGACCCTTCATCACATGCGCCTGTTGATCAGGTTTTTTAGACGAAGCAGAACTGCCAAACAAACTTTAGTTACGAAGAACTATGCTACGTCTACGAGACTAGCAAAACGCTATAGTAATGCGAATTGTAGTACAACCTCTCTGAAGACCCTTGTATCCTTTCGCCTCCATCAAAATGCAACCACCGCGGCCGTGATAGAACTCGCGTTATTGGTTTCAAGTGCCAGGCTCCATAACCACTGAGGCACTCTGGTAGCGTTCCTCAACTATGGGTCATGTTAAAAGTTGGCAACAGAGCAGAAAACACACGAAAGGCAGAAACCGATGAGCCACCAGCTGTATACTTTAAGTATTAATGATATTATGTTGGGATTTACGTCCCGAAACTGGGACATGATTATGAGAGACGCTGTAGTGGAGGGCTCGGAAAATTTCGCCATCTGGATTTCTTTGACGTCAACTGACACCACGCAGTACACAGGCCTCTACCACTTCGCCTCCATTGAAGTGTGACTGACGTGCCGGGATCGAACTCGCGACCTGAGGTTCAGCAGCAGAGCACCTTAGCACTGATCCACCGAGGCGTACAGCATTTAGCTAAGGTAACAATCTGGTTAGATTTAGAGAGTAGAGGTGTAGACAGGTAACAGCAACTCACCAGTTTGTTTGTGTTTATTGGGCCCAACGTCATGATGTACACACTTACTCGCACTGGCGTCGGAATACCTGTTTAGTTAAAAGAAATATAAGTTTTCCGCGGGCAAAAAAAAAAACAAAAAACATGTGGTTGTAACAGCAGCAGCGGCCATTGCGTTGTTTAGCCCAAAAAGGTGCTTATCCAACTCTTTACTTTTCTAACTTGTGAGATCGCGTCGCGATAATTTACACGAAATAAATGACACAAAGACCGTAGAGGAAAACTAATTACGAAACTATTTTCGGTTGTCGGGATTGGTAGTACTCGACAATATTGGGTGCCCTCGCTAACTATTGCGAGTGAAAAATTACGGCGATGAAATCTACGACGACACGGCCGAATGTACATTTTTTACTATTTCATATACTGATGTAACTTTTGTGTTCTGATTAATTCGTCATTAGGCATGTTTTTTAGCTAAATTTGTGATAACCAAACTGGGCAAGAAATTCCAGCGAGAACATTGTAGACCTAATTTGTAAGATATCTGATCAGACAGTTTGTACCTTTCTGTATAATAAACATTCGTGTTTTTTCGCTCTATAAAAATGTCCGATAAATTAAAAACTCTATTCATTTTCATGAAGTGAATGAAGACAAGTGGGCGAACCCAAATGTCTTAATCGCCAACTAGCCTGAAGGGTTTGTGCTGATACGTGTTTTATATTGTTCAGTCATAATTATGATTCATATCTGTTCATTGGCAACTTCTTTTTATTGCTCGAATATATGAACACTTACGGCTGATTTTCGCCGTCGCGTATATATATATATATATATATATATATATATATATATATATATATATATATATATATATATATATATATATATATATAGTGGGAGTAATAATTCAATGGACCAGTTTGTCTTCGTGAAGGTATGGGATATGGCACAACGGGAGCGTTGTCAACAAGAATAAATATATTTATTTCCCAACAGTTTCGGGAGGGGTCCTCTCTTCATTAGGGGATGAGTTATACTGACATGAATATCCAAAATTTGCTGCTGCCGCTTCCCTCTCGCCTTGAAACATGTTTGCGAGAGTGAGAGGAAACTAAAAAAAAGGAAAGAAAACAAAAAAACAAAAAAAAGGGGGGAGAAAAAAAGAAAAAGAAAGAAAAGAAAGAAAGTAAACAAGAGGAAGAACCACTGTCAACACTGAGAACGAAACCAACTGTCCGTGTACGTCCACATACGTTTCTTATCGCGTGCTGTTCAGTTCTCGACGTGTGTCGGGCCACCCAAGATTGTCGCGCGGTGCCGGGAGGGTCCGTGACGGCGTGCGTAAAGAAAGGGTTTCCCCGTAATGGGTCGGTCGGCGTGCGGCATGCGTAAGGGAAGGGGTTCTCGTTAATGGGTGGGTCGGCTCTTTTTACCTTTAATCTTCGTCCGTTTCCCTTCAATGGTCATCAAGTGGTAGGCGAACGAAAACACTTTGTATGTACATGTGGAAAAAAAAAGAAAAAAGGAAGAAAAGAAAAAGGAAGAAAAAAAACGAAAAAAAAACAAGAAAGGACAGTGTACACGTACGAGTCAGTCAGAAAATATATTTATATATGAATGCTCATATTTGCCATAATACGAACGGTGAGCTATATATATACGCCATTTGCCAATGTCTTCTTGTCAATGAAATTAAAGAAAAACATTCTTGAACAAAGCATGTGCTTTGTTTGGACAAACCATACATCCTTTCCACAAACACTGACGTGAACGACGGCTTGATCACTGGAGAGGCCGGTTCACTGAAGCACATACAGTTGGATGAAAGGGGCTTTCCAAAATGTCTCTGGCTCCACTTTCAATCTGAAGCAACAGGAAAAATTACTCGCATCAAGTACAGTGCCTGTGAATTCAGTTGTCGTTAAAATGCGCACCGCCCTATTGCTTTAGACGGACAAACTCAATTTCGCTGCCCCAGGTCAGGTTTGGTGACGCTTGCTCCATTAAAATATCGCAGGGCTTCACTGTAGTGCAGATTTCACCACGAACCTTGCGCACTAACGTCGTAGACTCCTTGCTGCAGAACTTCCGTGTGGTGTGCCTACAGGATGTGCCGATGATAGTCACTGCATACTTCAACGCTAATGTACTTCGACGCGAGAACCAATGGCTTGTAACATTTCACGATGCCGAACCTGCAGTTCGCCTCCTGTCGGACGTCACGCAGTATTCACAACAGCATCTGTTCAAATACTTGGGTAATGCATTCCTGTCAGTTGAAGCGGAATCGGCAATGTTCACTATATTCAGCATGGTTCCCATATCTCCTAGCCTTAATTCATAGAACAGCCAGATGTGTTGCTATAGCATTCATTGCTTCGTCCTTGTGCCGAAACTATGACTTTTTTTGCGTGTCTCACATTCTCTCTGTGCTGAACACGGACATAGATGGAGAAGCCTCGTCCCTATAGGTGCTTCTCTTTGAATGATATCACTTGAAATGCCCGCTAGCGCGTCAATGCTAGCCGTGATCACATGCTCCATAAAGTTCCGCATGCAAACAACCATAGGATTCGGCCAGGTGTACTGCCATGACAAGACCGACGAAGGTGATGGCTGTGTGATGATGTACGTTTTGCGAGTGGTAGCATGTGCGGAAGTAGGCATGTCACACAGTATTCTTCTGTATTTTGCGGGCATGTGTAGTAAGCAGAGAAACACTAATTCTCAACAGATACTAAGTTAAAGACTGTTTGAGCAGATGTTTTATAAACTGGTCGACAACTTGGTCAATAGAACATTTTGCCCAGAATCATTGCGGCAATATTACTTCAGAAGCTTGTCAATAATTCATATAAGAAAAACATAAAAATTACTATAACCTACTCCTTGTAATAGCAAGCAACCTATACATTTGGCCGCATCATAATATAGTGCTTCGGCATATTTTTAAGCTCTCACTAGTGTTAGCATGGGGTGCCCCGTATATAATTTGTCATATTCGTGCCGCATTTATGACCTTCCGTGATGTTTAACAAATGTTTGTTCCTCCTTTAAAAATATAGCTATTAAATGAGGGCGAAAATGACGGATGCGCATGCCTTGCACATGGGTAGACTCGCCTCACATTCAAACTCTTTGTTTGTCTGTCGCGCAATACTGAGATTAGGCATCGGTGCTGTATCTTCAGAGTCTGCTTCCTAAATCATTCCATCGAACTTGCATGACCCAAAAACGTCTTAAGCAGCTCGATACCGCAATTTGCACCATTACGGATGTCAAGGGTCAATAGCATTCTGTGGCTTCCAATATATTTGGTGTGTGTACGGTCCACACTAAAGAAAACAAAAAACAAATAAACAGTCATTTTAGAGTTACGCCATATCGCCAGTGTTAATTTTTTTTCTTTATTTTTCATCTTTATTGTGCTTGAGACGCCTTTATGATAAAAGTTTAGTCTGTTTGGGAATATCCGAACACGAAAGAGCATATAGCTTATTTGTGGAAATGCGCTTGTCGACGTGGCATACCCCACACGAAATATTTTCCTGCTTCAAAATCCCAGAAATTTAACTTCCCAGTAGGACTTCAACCACAGCAATAATTGATCTCAGTCTTATGAGGCAGCCAATATTTAACGCATCTGCGGACAATCCCAAGTGTTTCATAATGTTATCGCTAAGTTCACGCGACATATACGAATAAGTCATTGTCCATGATTAAAGTTTATGGGGAAGTGTTTTCTGGCACTTACCCTTTGCAAGCGTGCGCTTACATTTCGTGATGGAGAAAAGGTGGTCATTATTTCAATAAATATTATGCTGCGGTGTCAAAGTATAGGTATCGATAACGGTGGCACAAAAATTTTACTGCACTGCAGTGAGAGTGCTTCACCACAAGCTAGGGTATTTTTTTTTCTCAGGTGCGTAATTTCTGTGCAGCCTAAATTATCCTTACGGTATTTACATTCACGTACCTTTGTTGTTCATAGGCCAGGCAGTCGAGTCGTAATCTTCAAAGATTTTGTCCAGATAAGGAAGCCTGTACAACTTGTCACCAGGCGGATTGGCCTGCTTTGTGTTTGCCCTTTCACTGGTCCAGAAGTTTTTTGAGACCAGCGCATTGCTGAAAAATCAGGGAGAAGGAGAAAGATACGTTAGTAAGTGTTTTAACGCAATTAAAAGGGCACTAAAGTCAAATAACAATTAACCTTCAGAGTGAAAGCTTAATCTATGACAACATCTAAAACGACACTATTATCAACAGTAGTGCCCAACTTACCGAGAAGATGAGGTAAATCCAAAATATACATGCACCGCAGGTACGGACATTCTCAAAATGATGCCGAGGACATTGATGCGAACCACCCAGAAGTAATAACTAGTAATGAATCTAGCTGCACTAAATAAAGAACCTTCCGTGAATCAAGAGACGCAATAGAATGCTGCCTGTTCGCTTCTGTTTGATTCATGAAAAAAAAAAAAACGCCAGACGTTACTATGGTGAATGGCGCGAATGGTTCACAAATTCCGTTTTCGCGTGGTTAAACTGAACCGCTCGTGCCATCTAGCGGGGCACAGTTGAACCAAAACAGGTCTGCAATCTCGGAGCCAATGGCAGGAAATTGATCAATAGCAGTTGTTGCTGCTGCGGCTCTCGCTGCTTTCGTTCTGTCTACTAGTGTGGGTGACCGCGCAGTAAAGCCGGGCAGTGTTGTACACAGCAAGAGGGACGTCAGTCGATCCGCTTCTCGGGGCGGGTAATTTTAGGTGCGCTAAATCGAGGCTGGCCACTAAAACGTGATTTTATTTCAAAATAAATCCTTTCTTGGCACACAAGTAACACGTCAAGGTTTCTGGACCGCTATTTCAACAATTACCGTCGACTTAATAGTTGCCTTAGTGTCCTTTTAAGCCTTCACCGTCACGTTAATACGCATGGTGTTGCTTGAGTGGGAAAAGTATTTAGGAACGACATGCAGGTACGCATGCCGTAATCAAATGACGAAGTGCTTACGCCAGATAGCGGCGTGGCAGCAATAGATGTGCGTGAAAGTACATCCTGATTGTCTACAACTGTCATGTAGTGGTCGATGTAAGGAGCTTTTTGAGAGAACAAGGGATCCTACGTTGTTCCATGAGTTCGCATACGATGACTAGAAGACGAAAGCCATCTTTTGTTTCTTCCGTGTCAATGTAATTTTTCGAAGGCTTTCCGCTGCTCGCGTGGTTAATTTTGCACCGACTCTGTGATCGGTCCCTTCTGACCAAGCGATGACGTCACGTGAAGACGTCATCATGTGTCACCATGACGACGCCGCAAAGTTTAATAATATACGGGGTGTAGTGGCTCAATTATAGGGGTTTCACATGGCAAAACCACTTTGGTCATGAGGAACGCTGAAGTGTATGGCTGCGGAAATTTCAAAAATATAGTATTTGTTAACGTGCCACGACAAGGCGCAGTACACGGACCTTTATCATTTCACCTCGTCACAAAATTTGGCTATATGGAATGGCCAAAGACATCACAGGGTAACGTTATCGCGTGATGGTGTTTTTTTTTTCGCATCACTTGTGCTGAGGCTGCCAACGGCCAACTTTCGCGTTTGATGATGCGTCTAAGGCCTTATTAGTTTAGGCGTGATATAAACTTGCGTATCGACAGCCAAGTAACACGCCTATATTCGAGATTTTACCGCTATTCATCGTAGGGTGCTCCAGATTACTTCATTCTAGGTGTGAAATGACATGGGCCTAAGGCTATGGCTACGCGTTTTTAGAAACCAAATGAACTTTGGAATCTCGTTTGCTCCAAACCAACCCAAATTCTAGATATTGATGTTTACCTGTCATAACCATGGCCAACTTTCGTGTTCTTTAAAGATTCGAAACGCTGTACGATATATGACAGTAATTACTGTAGCCCCAGTTGCTAAGAAGTTTCAGATAATGCTGGCCATTTGCGAGTCAGATTTCCCGAGCAGAAATACTGAGACCAGTACACACTTTAACGTAAAGATTGTCAAACTGCGCCGCTTCGAAGTTTTATACCTACATTTAGAATTTGGAAACGGGGAAGAAATCGAGATATTAGACGAATAAAAACAAACAGGCACGACACTGTCAGTAGTATTACAACTAAAAGGGCTTATAGTATAAGCTCTTCTGGCAGTGTTTGATCGCTGTACAACGCCATATAGCGATGACGACTAGGGCCTTGCATCTATTTCGGATAAGCTGCTCGGATGCTGATCCGCAGATCGCGGGATCAAATCCCGGCTGCGGCGGCTACATTTCCGATGGAGGCCGAAATGCTGTAGGCCCGTGTGCTCAGATTTGGGTGCACATTAAAGAACCCCAAGTGGTTAAAAATTCCGGAGTCCTCCACTACGGCGTCTCTCATAGTCATATCGTGGTTTTGGAAGGTTAAACCCCACATATCAATCGTCGATTGCTTTCAGTTCATTACTTCTTATAATACATGTGAAAGAAACAGTGCCTCCATACATTTTATTGTTGCGCGTGTTGTTTGGTGTATTGTTCGCAACTATTCGTTGTATCAGCACTTCTGTAGACGCCTGTTGCGAAAGACGGCGACGCCAACACGGTCCCGGAGGCGCCACTGCTTCCAACTCCACCGGGAAGGTCACCAGCCGTTTGGTAGCGTATGTTTCTCAGCCCGCGACTGCTTCTGCGCAGAGCTGATAAGACGAGCGGACGAGACGACGGTGAGTTAAACAAGGTTTATGTACAGCATATATACAGAGGCGTTACAATTTCGGCACTGGGGCCGACAGAGACTCGAAGAGCCGAGCTCTCCTCTCTAATACATAGGTCAACTTGTCGCCTAAGACCGCCGACTCACACACATGTCGGCTCTCCGACATGGGGACTCCTCTCTCTCGTAGGACCGCCGATCGCGACGCGCCGCAGGGCTTCTTTTATTTGCACCGGGTCCAACCAAAAAGTCCAATCAGAAGCGCCGCTGGTCGTCAGGGCAGGTTCCGCCAATGGGGCCGCCGCGCCATGCGTCAGACCACCAGGAACGAGGACGCCGGCTCGCTGTCACGTGCGCAGCTGACTCAATGCACGTGGGCCAGAGAAGCGCCGCGCGTGTTCACGCCGTTGAGATGTTCGCGTCAGGCGGACTGCGGGCTGGCCTTGACCCAGATTGCCTTTTTCAGAGGCACGGACGTTTGACGAGGACTCGCTGGCATAACACGCCCTTCTCAGATGAACGAAACAACAGATAGAACTGCGTGCAATAAATAACATTGTCCCGAAATCAATTATTGGTACGGCTCTAGAGATAAGCATGAGCGCGAAGAGGGCAGAAGGGGCTGTAGTCACCTTCCCCCTCCCCCTCATCTCCTAATCAACTGAAGCGGGGCGCACGAAGTCTGATTTATGCCTTTAGTGAGTCTTACCTGCCCATAATTCTTCAATGTGAACGGTTATGACGCCGCAGTGTTTACAACAATGACAGCCAATAATTGTTTATTAGGCTTTTTTACCCCTTAAAATTTGGGTTACCATGGCAGGACGTAGTGAGAATTACGTCATCGCTTCAAATTTATTTTTATCTGTCCACCGCAAAGCTTTTCTTTTTTTCAACGACCGATGGGAGTAGTAGAGGTGCTGCAGTGACTTCTCTCCTCCCCGCTGAAGAGGGACCCTGACATGTCTATGGCTCTCGATGCCTATGGCTCTCATTACTCGTAATTGACACTAAAGTTATAATTTAGGTTTTAATTAACGTTTCTTGGGCATCGAGCGGCCTCAGTTCTACAGCTTAAGCACGTGCTGGTAACGGCCATTCGTTACAAGCTTGGTTCAATCTCGCAAATGAGAAATATGCATTGAGCCTTTTCGTTGAATAGAGAGGCCTATTTAATACTATTCGCCGGTGACCCTATGCTCGAGCCATCACAGTTGGTGCCACGTTGTCGCAATCAATCCCGTTCTTCAGGTATTCCGGCTGAAGTGGCCTAATTAGGAGAAGCGCAGTATGCAACTATTTGATAATATTTACAGTGCGCCCTGCTTGAAGAAAATATAAGAACCGGTATGAAAAATTCTCCGGCTACACTTCGTTGCTTCATTGATTCATATACTTAGCTTTCAAAGTGTTTGCTCTTAACCGACTGGCTGAAATTGCAGTTATTTAAGTATCACCGAGCCCCAATGAGCGCGTTTACGTTGGCCAAATATTAAAAATCCTAGAATGCTTAGCCAAGGAAAAAAGTAATGTGGTGTAATGCAACAATGATAACGTGGCGAATTCATCCGCGTGTGCGAAATCTTGAACAAATTTAGCAAACATGAAATGAATATTGACGACCATTCAATCGTGTAATGTGAAGTAATGTTTCCCGATGCTACCGAGCTCACAAGCAAATAAGTATTTCAAAAGAGCCCCCCCCCCTATCCCCCGAAAAAGCGGTGCAACTTTCGCGAAAAAGACCAAATTAGCAAGAGTTTTATGAATTTGTTCGTTAATGAAATATTTCATTCAAAATAAAAAAAAATGTCACTCATTTAGGAATGTGAGTTCATAGAACCATAATAATTATTTTCACCACAAAAATATGCGCAGCTATAAATGAAAGCAGCCATTTACCATGTATAAAATTTATTAGAGAATAGTGTGCTGCAATCAGTTTAATGCATGCTTTGCAGTGCATGATTAACGTTACTTGTCGATTCCCCTAATGTGTGTTCACGGCTGCTCGATCTTTGAGCTACCGTATTGCTTTTGACTTCAACACTCAACTACTCAAGGTCATCGAGAAACGATGCACTGGTGACAGTAATGATCTCTGAAATAATAATATTGGCATAAAAATGCAGCTAATGCCAAGAATTGCTGCAAAATACTGGAAATTCTGTAAGACACTCGGGGGGAAAAGGAAGCTCCAATCTGCCTATTATAAAGCAGAACCGGCCACTCTGGTACAAAACCACAAGAAAATGTATAAGTCATGGAGGAAATCTATCCATATTTATCTCGATTTATCCTCTCTCAATTCATATTTGTGGGTTTGTGCTTCGTACGGGTGGTTGTTAGCTATCTTTCTAAACCCTTACGCCACTTAGCGGTATGCCACAGTACCAATGCGCAATTTAGCAAACAGGAATTTTGCCATATATGAATTCCACAGCGATACTTCAACGACTGATCGTGATCTACGATGTTGTTGTTTATGACAATCTAGCGGAAACCTTCGTGGACATAATATAGGTGTCATGGCACTCTGCTTCTGATGCCACCTTTTTTGGCCAGTGTTGACCATTGATTATAATTTCCGTCCGTTGCAGAGTACGTGAAATCCTTGTAAAGTGCTAATACTCCGTGCTTGATTGCGAGAGGACATTCTTCTACTTACGTCAGTTCTCCCAAGTAGCATCTTAATTCTAAGCCTGGCTGCTTTCATGATGTGCGCAAACAAATCATATCACAAGATGCAACCTTGGCGGGAGTTAGACACGTATTGAAGTACACGCGTGAAAAAGAGGAAATGATTGAATATCAGAGAACTTACTAATTGCTACTCTCTCCTTGTGCTACTCCGAAAACTGTCATAAACACAAGGGTGCCAACGTTCGACCACTCAGCCAGTTGCGCCATCCTAAAGGCGCTTGAAAATCTCAGAACCGTTAGGTGGCCTGCACTGCGGACAATTCATCATATGTAAAGACACGATGAGGAGACGTACACGCCACATCATTCTCACGTGTCACTTATCTGTTTAACGACGACACGTGCATCCTTTGATTGTGTAGCCTGTCAAAGCTACGGCGGAACTAGGTTAACAGGGAGCGCGTTTATTAAGTGCGAAATGGAGCATGAAATTGAGGGCTCGGATCGGAGAGAGCCTCAGTTTAGGTGCAGGGGTCAGCACATCTCGCACGAACTTGGTTAAAAAGTTATACGTAACAGACAAAACTGAAATCAAGAGAAGTCTAATATAAAGGTGACATCATACGTCTAAAGAAATTAGTTTTGTTTCAGATTATTCAGTTACAATAGCGCATGGTCAGACAAACCGCATGCGCTATGACAATGCAGAAAAAAAAACCATGCAGAAAAGACCGCCTTAAAAAGACCACGAATTTTATTTATGCATAAAAACGTATAAAAAGGGCTCCAAAAATCCACCCCTGCCAACTGCTGTTCACGATATAATGGCCACAGCAACCTTCCCTTCCCCATAGCGAACCAAGGTATCTAGAAAACCGCAAATTGATGCCGTGAAATTGAGGGGGGTGTGGGCACTACTGGTGCTCAACTTCAGCATGTTTGCTGCATTTCCTCTGCTTTCGTGTTCGTTCATATTCAAGAGATGTTCGTGTTAGTTCATATTCAAGATATCAGTTGCATAGGGCGAATACATATAAGAGATGTGTTTACACAGAAGTGCTACAAATATTCACACATATTTGGAAATTTCACGCAGATTGATTCACAGTGGTGCATGCCAGTTGATGTGGGTAGAAACTTCCTCCTGTAATACACCTATAATGAAGTTTTTGAAGCAAACTAGGTACACAGGAAGAAAGAAATAAGCGAAAGCAAGAAATGAAGTGACATTGTGAGGGATTAAAGAAGCGTAATTGTGCGAGAGGGCATCCGCACAAAAACAGAAAAATCACAAAAAAATATTTAGAAAAATTGTTGATACAGTGGTCAAAAATTCAGCAAGCGAACGTATGCGGGTGCCTACATCGACAAATGTGGCCCCGGTCTAGTGAAGAGAAATAGAACTGAGGTAAAGAAAAATTCCCTTGAAGTAAGGGTGAGAGCTACGTTAAGGAAAAGAGTGAAATTCCACCGAAATTACGGGCAGAAGGACAGACGGTGCTACGAATTACATCTCTGAGTACAGACATGACCCCTCACAACCATACTCTAACCATTTTCGGACAAAAAACTTACGCCAGCTTCGCAGTATACACCCTCTCACAACCACTGTTAAACACTTCCAAGGCTAGGGGTGAAAGCAACGCACACGTTTGCGCAGGAAAGCGTAGTTCCAGATATAGTTACCTTCGAATAGGCAAGGTTGAGGCATCTGCGCTTGTTTGGCATGTCTGAAGTCACACCGATGAGAGATACGTTAATTATTCTTCGCACTGATGCCATGTGCTTTGATATTCTGCATCAGTAACCACCGCTAACTGAGGTTACATGTCAACATGGCAGCGAGCATGCAGACGGAACCACCCTCTTCGATTCGAACTTGCGCTTGCTATGGTCGCACTGAGCTGGTAGCCACAAACAAACGGTGCAATTAGATGGCTTTGTGTACAGTCACGCTGAAGTCAAAGTGTCAAATACAATTTGCCGTTATTCGCGATATAGCTGTCTGTTTACCCACGCGTACTAAGCCTAACACGACGAGAATTTAATTATGATTCTTGGAAGCAGCTCAATATACGCACGAATACATTGATGTAGAAGCATGAGCAGTATACATACTAGCGCCAGTTTGTAACTAACGGGTCCCACAGTGCCCGATGGTGACCTGATAGATTTAAAGCAGAGGGCACCAGGTGTGATGGGTTCAGCCATTCAAAGATGCCATCTGTTCGCTTTAGAAAGGAGGCAATGGCTTCACTCACCCTGCACACGTGGGCAGATGCTATGAAGATGCCGAGCAGACGACGTGACGTGTATGAATACATGTGAAGTGGTTAGCTAATCACCGTTCCTATTGTCTAAGAGGTCATGAAACGGGGTTGAAAGAAACTCCTGAGATATATCTAAGAAGTTTCTTCATCACCGCTTTTTTCATTGGGCTAGGTGTCACTAACTCGCGCCTAGCCTGATGAAAGAGCGCAGCTGGGAGGCCTTGCTTGTTTTATTTTTTAAAGGGCGAAGCTCCTTAAGCCACGGGTCATGCGTCCGCGATGTGTAGTAGTAGTAGTAGTAGTAGTAGTACTAGTAGTAGTAGTAGTAGTAGTAGTAGTACTAGTAGTAGTAGTAGTAGTAGTAGTAGCAGTAGTAGTAGTAGTAGCAGTAGTAGTAGTAGTAGTAGTAGTAGAAGTACTAGTAGTAGTAGTAGTAGTAGTAGTAGTAGTAGTAGTAGTGATGCGTCGTAGTAGTACGTAGCCACCTCCACAGCCAGACTAAAGGAGCGGAGAGCGCACTCATATGAATTGAGAAGGAAACCCACGCACGTTTATTATAAATAAAAAGATAGTTGTTTCTGGTTAAATAACCTACAGATACAAGTATCGGTGACTTAATCTGCAGAAAAAAAAACTTGCCTTGAATTTGATGCTTATTTAAAAAAAAAAACTAGTACCAGAAGAACGCACTTTGAGCCCTATCTGGTTGCCACATTGAACTCGCTGGGCGTAATGCCTTTGGTTTTAGCAAAGTTTATCGAGTGTTGGCCACAGTTCCGTGAAATAGAGGCTGCGAGAGGTGGG